CTGTTATTTTTTCCTCTTTTTTTCCCACTGGAAATGGCAGAAACACTACGTAAACATTTTAGACATTTGCGCAGCACAAAGAATAAGGCTACAAAGTAAAGTTGCGCAGAAAAGAATTTGGTTTGTCTAAGTCTAAAGTTGGGCAGGAGTGATGTGATACACCAATGAATAGTGCATGAGTGTTGAACCCGAGACTGGTAACTATAACTAGGGACCGCTGAGAGACGTCACTGTCTGCCAATCCACACAGGCTCTGTCTGCTACAAAGGATATATGTATTAAGCTTCTTTTTAAAAATATATATATAAATATATCTAAAATATTTCAAATGAACGAGATAGTTCATGATCATTCTATTGTAGTGAATCTTCCTAACATAGCCTGCAAAGCTTCAATACCACTACTGGAAAGTATGTTTTAAGTACAATTTAGAAAGTATGTTGCACTAAATAATAATCAAGTTTGCTACAATGTGAAGATAAAGACAATTCTAAGATTTTCATAGTGTTACCATAAGTTAGGGTTGTATAAAAAAATCTACTGGAAGTGCTTTAAACTGTGTGAACTTTGGGTAATCAGTATATTGCTGTGTAACAAGTGATAGGATTTCATGGAAGTAACCAAAATGTCAGCCCATCCTAGCCGAAAGAATGCTGCCTTTTAATCATTAATAAGGTGCTGCGCCCAATTTGGTCCTGGGGCACACATGCATTTTCTTTTATCATCATCGTGAAATTGCCAAATGATGTCAAACCATATTTGCAATGCCTTGCATTTCAAATCCATTTAAGTTTGAGCAATTTCAAAGATGACCTGAATTTTGAGTCACTGTTGTTATTTCTGTTGTTGGGGCGATCGTGGCTCAAGAGTTGGGAGTTCGCCTTGTAATCGGAAGGTTGCCAGTTCGAGCCCCGGCTTGGACAGTCTCGGTCGTTGTGTCCTTGGGCAAGACACTTCACCCATTGCCTACTGGTGGTGGTCAGAGGGCCCGGTGGCGCCAGTGTCCGGCAGCCTCGCCTCTGTCAGTGCGCCCCAGGGTGGCTGTGGCTACAATGTAGCTTGCCATCACCAGTGTGTGTGAAGGGGTGGATGACTGGATATGTAAAGCGCTTTGGGGTCCTTAGGGACTAGTAAAGCGCTATATAAATACAGGCCATTTACCATTAGGGCTATTTACTTGAAAGATTTAGGAACCAGCATGTGTTTTTAACAGGGGGAGTAGAAGTATTTGCCAAAAGCCTTGATTGTGTTGCATTATTTTGCCGAGCTGAGATATGCTTTAGCAACTTCTATTCAATGCAACTTCTCTTGCATGCTGAAGTACAACTCATCATCTCATCAATTACACATACAGCCAGTCTGTAAGCTATACGTCAAAGTCTAAAGTTCCTAGTATCCGATGAAACAAGTCCCTAAATTATTTAGATGGCCCAGTCAGTGTTGCATGTGGCAACCTCATTAAGAGGCAGTATCGCTGTTCACAATAAAAGAAATAGATTTGCTTGCAGGAAATAACACAAACACAGTATCTTTGTTATCATATAGGGAAAAATGCCTATGGATAACACTCTTAATTAAATGATACAAAGACTATTTTAAGTGATGCATGTATGAAACTATTTTGGGTAAATGCATTTCAAACAAAACACTGTTTTTAACTTTGTGCAGTAGCTTCCTTGTTTTTACCTAGATCCGTAACAGATATATTCTTTTCCCACCTGCGCAGTGGGAAGTGTCATCTCAGTGACACCAGCCTGTGGTGTCACTGGTGTCTGTTGAGGGATTCTGCTGTTAATTACATGATTCAATACCAGCTAAAAGGGGTTGAGGAGATGTCCTAGTTCCTCCAGGAGAGCTAACCGTGTCACCAATAGTGCAAAGTTACTGGTTGCCCCTGCTGTCTCATATACTAACCTCATTCTCTGATGGATGTTGTCATCAAATTCAACTTTAAACACAGAAGATGACTCTAGGGACCAAACCAGTCTGCCATCGCTGGTGTTTCTGTTTTGACAAAGAACAAAAATTAACATGACTTAATAATTTCCCATAGTTTTTGTTTTGTTCTAGTGTCTCTGTGCTCTTCTTTTTTTCTCTTCTCTTTCCTCTTACCTTCTAGCTTGTTAGAGCAGAGGGCTAATCCAGGTGCTGCTGGGTGTCTCTTCCTGTTATAAGGGAGTTCTTCCTTCCCACTGTCACAATTGCTTTCTCATAGGGGACATCTGATTGTTGGGCATTTCTCGCTAATTTTGTAGGGTTTTGACCTTGCAATATTAAGCGCCTTGAATAAAATCAGATTGAAGTGGACTTCTTTATACAACATAAGAGTTTCAAAACACAATAAATGTGCAATAAAAGAAAGCATTATCTATATTATGGATGAATATTTAGGTAACACTTATGAATATGCATGAGAAAGTGACACCTTTGACAATGTTGTCTAGGATGAGTCACAGATGAGTCACAGAATGAATTGATACCAATCATGCAACCTTATCCCATGTAGGTCCAGTGTCCAAAGACCTCTTTTGGCTGTTGGTTGTAGATTGGTTATCAACATCTTATTCATGCTCCACTGACTCTGTGGGGACACCAGCTGACTGTGGTGTACTATATCGTTGGGGCACATTTCAGACTGTTTGGATGACGACTCTGGCAAGCTTGACCAGTGAAACACAGCCACAGGGCATTGTTGGTGGTGGTGTTGAGTTGGCATTGTGCTAACTAGTCAGCACGTAGGGCCTGGGTGTATTTGACCCTATATGACCTCAGAAACTAAAGAAATACTCAGAATCTGAGTGATTATTTTTAATGTCTGTGGATAGAAATGTGTACTATATATAATAAAACACCCTATTATCATATAATGGGCAAACAAAAATCATGTGAGAGCGTTTGTGTTGCCAAATTGTGTGAGCACATCATGGACAGTGCTTGGAGAGTCTATACATTTTTGCATCTTACCATGTTTCTCTCTTTAATCCCCAAGAAAGGAATGGAAACACCACCTGGTGGCCGAAGAACTGTCACTGCAGTTGGCTGCACTGTGTTTGGCTCACTACACAGCTGAAAAAAAAGAGGACCATACCTGGAAGGGAACTAAAGACAAGGAACAAATATCCTTTCACTACTCTTAACAGTCAGCTGATACCCAAAATACTGCTCACAGTGCAGAGGAGACCGAATTTAGAAGGACTGTTAAACATACCTGACTTCTTTTTTTTTTAAAGCCTTTGGAGTGAGAGTCAAAAGGCAAGGTTTTCGGATTCAAATCAAGATATGTTATACAAGATAACATATAATTTGGACTCATTTGTGTCTCTATAGTGAGCACAAAAGAAAGTTTATATGTTTAAGCTGCCAGACGGGGACACATTCACCATAAAGTATGTAGGGCTTGAAAAGAAAAATACATTTTGAGAAGCTGTAAAGTTGTTTTCATTGCAGCTGTTAGTAGCAGTCGTTCCTTCTAGCTAAAAGAGTAGAGTTGCATGTAATTATGCACATAACACAACATTGCCAGCCTTGTTAGTGTTATTAGTAATTATTTCCTACAGATATGGATTAGTTTACCATAGTGAAAAACAGTTTCATTGTCTAGTTGTTATTATTATCAATATCATTATTATTATTATTATTAGTAGTAGTAGTAGTAGTAGTATTAACAGTTCAACTCAAACTGCACCAGCACAGTTCTTTTCTGGTTCCTGATTGGGTCATTCTAAGTTTACTCAGAGACAGTATAGACTTTATTTTAGCTAAATCTAATGCTAACAGTTGTATGTAAGATGCCTATAAAATGTTTTCTTTTCTCTCAAAACTAACTATTTATCAGTAGATATTTGCTAATAAAAAGCTAAACGTTTTATACTTTTTAGAAAAAATTCAGCTGATAGTTTAGCTTCATGAAGAAAGTAAGCTAATAGGCATGCTAGCTTAGTGTTTTTGTAGCTAACCATGGATGGAGAATTATCTCTTGCTTAAGCTGGCAGATGATTTCCATCTTTAATGGTGTTTTATGTTATGATGGCAACTAGGAAGGAAGAAATGAGCAGGTTAAACAACCTGTTCTCAGCTAATATTGATTATTGAACACAAGGCTGTAATGTAAAATGAATGCATTCATTTGATTGTACTCATCTATTGTTTTGTAATAATACTTTAAAAAAAAGTTACATATCAGCATATAAACTTTGCAAAATAATCAAAGATTAAATGCATAAAAATGTGTAAGCAATTTTTATGCCACTAAGCTTTCATACATTTGTGATTAGCTTTGTCATAAATAACAGTTTTACAAAGAATATTAGAAAATAACACTCTGGTATCAAACTTTGCATTTAAATCATGTTGTAGCCTTAAATTAAATATCCATGTGAGATATACACACTTTCTGTTTTCAGTCGATTTCTAAGTAGATTGAAAATTTATTGAATGGCATTGCTATCTTTTAAACTTGTAAGAAAAATTGAGGTGACGGGTTAAGGTTAAAAATAAGTGTAGCACAGGGACTGCTGGTCAGCTAAGTTATAATGCACTGTTTACAAATCCAAGTGGTAAAGCACATAAATTAACAACAACAAACCATTAAGTAAAAATGTCACATGTAAAAAATGTCACGTGTCAAATCTGGGTGGCTATAGCTGAATCTGTTTCTTTAAAGAAAGCCCGCCATCTAGTGGTCAGACTATTTCATTCGCCAAGGATGAATCATAGGGAAAAAGGCCATTTTCGTCTCATCTGTTATGAACACTAACTGCATCACAGCGAGTTAATGTCCAGGCAATATATGTCATTGGATATTGCAGCCGTGATGCAATGGTAATTATGCATGATGGCAAGCTCTGAGGTTTGCTTCAATTTTTTACGGCCTCCAGGAAATGCTGCATCCCTTTGCCTGCTTCCATCCAGAAAACAGGCAGTGAGGTGGGGGAATTAAAGTGACACAGCTATATTATGTGAAAGTAAAGCAGAGCAGCTCACAAGGGTGAGATCTTTAAAGGGGGAGTAGCCTTTTTATAGATGAGACTCACAGAGGCTCAGAATCTCTTCAGACTTTCGTAATCCTGAACGAGACTGGAGGAAATTTTCAATGTGAACAACCCTGCCTTAATATTTTCCAATCCATTGGACACGGGTATAACTAAAGGCTTTGTATTCTTGCTTCTCTCCCTGTTTATTTGTGAGGCACAGATGGACAAGCAGCTGATGCAGGAGGCAGTTCCACGCACAGCACACTTAACCGAGGACCCAGAGGCATCTTGAAATAGAAATTCAAAAGAGGAGGAGGAGGAGAGAAAGGAAGGGGGTTTTTAAGGGAGAGCATTGGTATGCCAGGTTCAGTACATAGCATGGCTGTGCAGAAGAAACAGTGTGTCATCCCTCCATCGCAGGGACCTCTTTCTACACGTACCATCGAAAGCCAAAGGAAGAGAAACAGATATGAAAAAACAGAAGGTTAGTAGCCTTTTTCTGCGCTTTCTATGATTATCTTATCAAACCTGCCTTTTCATTGAATCAGAGATTGTAGATTAGAACCACAGGATCATTGCACCATATCGATTATTAGTTGATCGTATAGATTATGCATCTCTCTTAAGAAATCTTTGCACATGACTACCGTGAACTAAATAACAAGGCATCTGTTTGTACACATTACAAAATAAGCTAACAACACCAGTACACAGTACAGCCCTAAAGAAACACCTTGTTTAAACTAATTACTCTTCAGTCTTGCGTGTGCCACTCTATCTTAACCTTTTACAGTGTTTGATTCAGCTGCACTCATGAGGACTGATCAGGTGCTAGCCTTTTATATGTAGGCAATTTATAAAGGCTCTTTCATGTGGAGCTGACCCTGGGGCCAAACAGTCCTGAACCACCACTGTTTGGGACAGCTTCTTAAAAGCTGATTTGATTTGAGTTTGTGTCCAAGGGCCACCTCAAACAATTTAGTTTTATAAACTTGTGTCTGTTTACAGACGGAGACAATTCCAAGTATCTGTGTAATAACTATGAGTTTTATTACAAAAAATAAAGCCTTGATGAAGGAATATTCTACAGAATAAGTTTTTTTCCCCCTCTCTGACAGAAAATGGCTCTTATCACAAACCGATATCAGCGACAGTGAAGAAAGCAACCTGTTCTGTCAACATCTGCAACACAGTTACTCCTCGGGCTGCTGCAGGTTTTTGAGAGCACACTCACCCTGCTGTCACATTTTTAGGATGTCAGGCCATGTTTTTTTACTTCTGTAAGTAAAATTGCTATTATATCGTATCCTTGCATCCTGGCAGGTAATGGACAAAATGTTGACGAGAGGCTGAAAGCCGCACGAGAAAGAAGAGAAGAGCACCAGAAGCTACTTGGTATGTAGGCCCCTACATGATGGTAATATTCACATGTCCTTGCAAGTACACTTACCTCAATTTCTAATAATATTTACATAAACAAAAATCCATGTTGTACTGCTTTGTTCATTCTTAGCCTCTCGGGAACTGAGCAGGTTAGAGCGGGAGCAGCGGGCTAGGCTTTACCATGAACAACAACTGCAGGAGCGCAAGAAGAAACTCCTGGAGCAGAGGCTCAAAGAGGAGAGGAGGCGTGCTGCTGTGGAAGAGAAGCGGAAGCAGAGGCTCAAAGAGGAGAGAGTGAGTTTTGATGGTGGATATCGAGTATTTTATTTCCAGCAATGCTGATGAGTTCACTGTTCAGGCTAAATTCAGTAAAATTAACTCAAAGGTGTTTCTGAATTAAGGAACGATATGAATCTGCAGTGCGTAGGACACTCGAGAAGAGCCAAAAGGCCCAGCAGAGCCTCAGTCAAAATGCAAGAGGAAGGAAACTCACTAAAAATGGTAAGCTAGGCGAATGTGCTTTCATTTCTCTCTCCTTTCTTTTTTTCTAACATAATCTTACTAAACTCATAACAACCTGCTTGCAGTATCTGTTGTCTCTGTACGATATCTTAACACAACAATTCTTGGCAAACCCTATCTTCTGTTTTTGCTGCATTTAAAACTTTACACCGATTAATACACTAGTTCCACATCGCTTGCCACTGACCACATGGGAGAAGAACCTGGTCAGTCGTCTCCTTACCCCCACATGCTCTTATCTGGCCAGGAGCAAGAGTGCTGGTTGTCAGTCAGGAGAACAAGGTACTCTCCCCCATAACAGAAGAATGTACTTATTTTAATTTAACATTAAGGAACTTCTGTTGCTACAACAACTAATATCTCAGGGCCCTCTGGTCTCTAACGCTGCTGTTTTTCTCTCTGCTGATACACTACTTCATATTTCCACCCTTTTCACTGTTCCCACCATTTGTGCATTGCTCTCCAATTTGCCATAATTATGGCGCAAAACACTGGCTCAGTTGTCCATGTTTGTCGCCGTGCAGTTTCATTCCACTCCATGAATACCACCACCACCACCACTCACAAACCCCGGCATCACTCTGGTTCAGTCCACAACAGGCCATCTGCTTCCTCTGGTTCTCGCAACAGCCAACACAGAAGCATCAGTGTGGCACAGGTATAGCTAGCTGTTTCTTTTCATTAGAAATCTTTACGATCAGCCAGCTGTCTCTTTTTTCAGTCACAGTTTTGAATTGGAAATAACATTTTCTTTTGATCTAGATAAAAGCAGCAAAGCAGCAAAACATTGTTAAGAGGACCTCAAGTACTCGCTCTAACGTTCAGTCAAATACCATCAGCGTCTGTGTAAAATCAGCTCTGATGCCGAGCAGAACATCCTCTCCATCATCAGAACGGTAGGTAAAGTGCCACAACTGTGCATCAGAGACAGAGTGGCAGTAATGTGAACAAAATGCTCCCTTTTAATTTTTCTTAAAGGACCTCACAAAGATCAGTCATCAAACAGCCAACCCTGCTCCAGCCTGAGCTCCCATCACTCCCTGAGGAAGATGCTGCTGCTTGCAACTCTGCCCTCTCTCCTGCTAACTCCAGGCCTGTCAGGACATCAGTTGAATCTCAGCAAGAGAAACTGAGGGGTAAAAATCCACAGGAGACTCCAAGTTCAAACTTGCCTGACAAAGACAAAGTGACATCAAAGAGAACAGCAGGAGATGGAGGTAAGCTAGAAAAATGTATCTAGCACAAAGTGTGTCAATGTGTTTCTGGGATATTTATAGTGAAGTGTAAATTATTTCTCTTTAGGTCTCTCCAAAATGCCTCCTTGTCCAGCTCCACAGACTCCTGAAGTCATGTCCCGCCCCTCAGCTGGAACTACTGACCCAGAGGAAGCCTCACGTCTCCTGGCTGAAAAGAGGCGAGAGGCCCGACTACAGCGGGAGAAAGAGGAGCAGGAGCGCATACAGAGGGAGGAGGCTGAAAGGTAAAAAAAAGCACATCCAAGTATATGGTAACAATATTCATTAGCAAGCTTTTAAGAACATTAGAAATAACATCCAGGCAGAGCCGTGAAGAACTTGAGCGCAGGAGGGCAGAGGAGCGGGCACGACAGCAGGCTGAGGCTCAGCGTCTCATAGAGGAGAAGAGGAGAAGGGAGCAAGAAGAGCAGAGACGAGCTGAGGAAGAGAGAGCTCAGGCTATGAGGGAAGCTGCCCTCTTGCAGAAACAGGTGGGAAACAGAAAAGTTTGTTGTTATCATGCATTATATTCGTAGATAAATTTGGTTTTCTATTCACGTTCTTACTTAATGTTTTTTACCCATCTGTGCAGAGAGAGGAGGAACTAGCCAAAGAGCAAGCACGAGCAGAGCAGTTGAAACAAGAGCGGGAAATGCTCGCACAGAAAGAGGAGGCAGAGCGCCAAGCAAGGAAAAAGGTGACAACTAGGATTTTAAAGTACGGCCGTCATTTCTGTATACAGCTCGGGCCACACATTAACTGAATTAATCAAAAAATAATAATACACCCCACTTAGCAAAAGAAGTTACAATGATAAAAATGGACACTGTGCAACTGAAAATATTTAAAAGACTTAAAAAACTGAGATTTTATTGTTTCCATTCATTGTTTGAACTTGATTCCTGCAACATGTTGAAAATGGCGCTGTTGTATAATGCTAACCCCCCCCCCAAAAAAAACCCAACAAAATACCAAAATCTGACAACTTATAAAGTTAAGAAGAAAAATCAATGAGTATAAAAAGAGCAAGAAACTTTGAGAAATAAAGCTGCACTGGGGTTCATCACTCTGTGTAAGACTGCATGGACAGAATATTTCAGCCATTTAAGAAGAACCTTTTTAATTCTAAATAATTTGGAGATTTCATCCACTGTGATCACTAATATCTTTCAGAGTTTTACAGAGCCCGAAGACATTTCTGTACACAAGGGACGAGGCTGAAAATCGGTACCCTTGTTCCTTGGAACATCAGGAGACTCTGCAATAAAAGTTGCCTCATTTTAGCTTTTAGCCATTGCCACGGTTGTCAAAAAAATATATTACAAACAGTATTTTTAAAAGTGGATGTTTTACTATTTTACCTTTAACTTGTAAGCATTTTAAAATTTATTATGGAAACAAGATGTGCCGAAAAATCTGTTTTATGAAAGACACTGAATGCATTCTCTGAGTGAAAGTATTTTAGTGAATGTTGTTTTCTTTTGCAGCGACTTGAGGAGATCATGCGGAGAACCAGAAGGACTGATTCTCCAGATACGGTGAGATTAA